TATATGTGGCATATTGGAACAAAACCAGACAAAGTGAAAACTTTTCCACTAAATTTTCCACATCAAGTGCACTATTGCTGTTGCACACCCTAATGGATTACCATCATATAAGTTATGGAATTTTTTAACCCTAAACTTAATAACTCCAAGTTGTTAATAGTTAATAACCACTTATTAACTATCGCATTCTGTGTGAGAGTGATTAATCCAAAAGATTCTAATAATAGTTAAAGTAAATAATGGACTGTCCATTAAGATTTTATTTAAATAAATTAATGATAATAAAGGAAGTAATAATAAATTCAACTTTATGTGTGGTATCACATGTCAATCTCAAATTTTAATTTCCTTTTCAACTTTTCTAATATCAATATGAATCACACAAAGATTTCTCTAATAAACTAAATAAACTTGAATTCCTTATTTCGGCCAACTCGCTTAACAAGAGCTGGTGCCATGGTATGCTTTTTGTATGTCTTATAAGTTATCTCTATTCCAACAAAGAATGATAGGACTTCAAGGGAAAAAGTTATGCAATTGTTGTTATAGACGATGAGGATATTATAGACAAGCAAACAGCAATAGTAATTTCTGGTTCTGGTAAATTTTAATTTGACTGAAGAACGTATCTTTCGGCAATCGCCAGTTACACAAATTCAAACGTGTTTTCCCTCATTCGCTAGAAACAGCAGGAAGCATAGTGGTCATTTTTTAAAAAAATAACGTAATACATTATTTAATAATATATGTTATTTAATAATATTATGTTTTAAAGAAATAGTTTGATAAAATGCAAAATTAAATTATTTTTCATGTTAATAAAGTTATTAATGATTGACATATAGCATTATGCAATTCCTAATACCCATTATATAACATGGATTTTCAATGCCGTTTGTTTGCATAGGGTCTGTTGATTATCATTTTTTGGTGTTAAAAAACAGAGCGTTGTTCAATGCCCCTCAAAAATTCTTGATGTATATAGGATCCTGAATTGTTGTTGTGGTAATAATTTAAAATATAAACAGTAATCTTTAGAATAAAATTCTTTAATTGCTTTGAACATTTTCTCTGATCAAATATTTATATACACCATATTCTATCATTAGATATTAGATAACTTCGTTACCAACACCACGAACTGCTGCTTTCATATACTTTTGGTAACTTTTCCCTTCTTGCATAACCCAACTTCGGCTTCTTTTTGTACTGTATAAACTTTGATTTAGCCATAGATTTTGAACTTAGCATTCACCAGGAAGAAATGGAACCAGCTTCAGCAATTTTCGCACTATACACTCATTTCTATAATAATTCAATTCTTTGGGATCCGTTATCGCTAAAAATTAATATTATTTATTTATTATAATAAGAATATACAATTTTAATTCATATACTAACAGCTAAACCTTTTCGTTATTTATCATCAACATTTTGTTTTATAATGCAAATTTTCATTTGATTTATAAAAATTTTATTTTTGAATTTTATTTACTAATTAAAAACAAGTCATCGTTTTATTTGTTAAAACATTTGATCATTATTTTTTTAGGGTTGATGAACCTATTAAATCAACAAATGATTCACACAAATATATTTTAATGTATAGTAATTATAATGCTTTTTTTACTATTATTATTTACTTATAATTGAATCAATTTATTTTCCAAAAAATATTTTTTATAACAAAAAAGTCTAGCTTATTATATAATTTATTATTTCCAAAAAAAAAACCCCAAGAAAAACTACACACATATATATATATATGTAGAGTGTTAAAAAAAAATTATTTAAAAACATTATTCTTATTTTCAAATTTTACAATCGGTTTCAAAATTCCAGAATTTTGATTTTAAATCTTTGAAAATTGGAAGATTTCGTAAAAAATTTTAGACAATAAAGACATACAGTAATAAGACATTCTAGAGACTTCAATAGAAAATTAGAAAATACGTTGGAATGTCAGGACATTCTTTAATTACTAAAGATCCTACTAAACTAGAGAAATTACTTATTTTTGCACAGAAAGGTATATATATGAATAATATTAGTGATTATAGAAAACTTCATCTATTTAATATTTGATAAAAATATTAGTATATACATACACTCTTTAAAATTAGTATGGAATAACTAATAAAAAAGGATTTTCCATTTAAAGATGTCTAATGTATATATGGATTAGCATGTATTTAGTGTGACGAAGATCTTTTTATTATATTTTTTATTATATTATCATAATTCATAATATTTATGATGTTCCCATATTTCTTTATTTTATCTCTTTTTTACCTTCTTTTTTAATAATCAATATAAATTTTTTTTTAGGCGTAAATCATTGCAAAAAAAAAAAAAATTTGAAGAATTTACAAATCACCTTTACATTTTAATTAATTAATTAATTTTTATTATTGGTGTAAATTTTTTATTTTTATTTTCGTTCCTTTTTTTACCCTTTAATTAATTTATTTAATATTATTTACTATTAATTTTAAATAATTTGCTAATAATAAAAAAAATTATCGTCAAAATACTTGAAAAGTGGACTAGTCAATCAATATATTAAATCAATTTGT